TGCAGCGACTTGGATGGTGGTGAGGCTGAGTCCACCCCCCACATGTGCAGGACGGCGGGCATGGGTGGGCGGTGCTCTGTCCAGGTGACAGACAGACACGTGGCGTGCGTCCTGGGACTTGCTGGGGGGTTGGGAGGTTTGGTTCCGATCCTGCCCCCGCTGCTTCTGCTGACCTCGTGGCCACGCTGCCTCCTTCGGAAGGCGCCTTCAGCTGCTCCTGCTGCGTGTTTGCACAGGGCACTCCAAGCTACCTTGGTGGTGGCAGGCGCTGACCTTCCATCCACAGCTACAGGCTGCTCCAGGAGCCCAGCTGGAACTTCCTGCAGTCGTGCGACCCCACCCCCCACCCCCACCTGTCCCACTGCCGTGTGAGGAGGGCTCTCCCAAGCCCAGGGCTGTCCCTGTGCCCCCGCAGGGCTGCACTCAGGAGGAGCGGGGCATGAGGAGAGCATTGTCTCCCCTCAGGCCGTGGCTGCAGAGGAGCTGGGCATCCAGGCACCCCGGCCACTTTGGGGAACCGCCGTCACACACCAGTCCCTGCACCGACCAGGGTCTCGGGGGCCAGGCTGCGGGCAGTGCGTCTGCACTGCAGCTCCGGTGTCCCCTCTAACCACGCCCCCACCTCAGACACAGTGCTCCCAGACAGCCCGGGAAGCGTGGAATCGCAGGAACTTCTCCCAGGGGGACCTTCAAAGGCGGACACCATGAGGGCAGGGGGACAGTGGGAACCTGTCCTCAGTGCCTTCAGTTGGACGTTTCGATCCGCTGCCCATGGGGACACGGGTCACAGAACCTCAGGGCCAGGGCTGGAGCCTCAGGGCTGGCCCGCCGAGGGCCGTCCAGGGCAGGAGAAGGTGCCTGTGGAGGTGGGAGCTGCCCAGAGGTGTCACACCTGCGTCAGCCTCACTGAGCGAGCTCGTCACTTAGAGGAGTAATTAAGCACTGTACTCATGGAGCCGTCAAAGTGACAGCCACCATCAGGTGACGCACAGGGAGCCCATTAGCCTCCCGGCTGAGGGCGGGGGGCGCGGCGTCCCTCGAGTCCCTGTCACTCAGAGCGCTGCACAGCTGGTGGCGGTGTCCTCATCCCACGGGCACTGGCGGCGCCCCGGGGAGCACTTGCAGGCTTTTAGAAGTTGTCCCCCGATAATTTGAACAGGTCACGTTCTGTGTAAGATGCTGCACAGCGGCCCAGCGACACCCCATTCTGCTCCTGCAGTCGGCCGTGACGGAGCACTGCTCGTGCCGGGCGGACAGGCAGTTGTGGTTCCCGGGGTGAGAAAGGACACACCCCCTGAGTGCCCCAGGGCCCCTGTGTGCAGATGCCCCATGGGGTGCAGGCCCCCCAGGGCCTTCTGGGGGCTCAGCTGCCCACCAACACCTTGCTTTTGTCATCACGAAGCACCTGCAACCTAGGCACGTGGTGCATGTGGGCTCCTTGCTTTCGTCACAGAACACACAGTGAACACGGCTCAGACGTGTCTGCAGTCTGTAAGGTGGTATATCCTGGAGGGGACAAGGTCAGGACTGCAGCATGTCCTTTAGGGGCACAGGTCACCCACGGCACCTTCAGGTGGAGTTCCTGTGGGCAAAATCTGGTATCTGGGCTGTTTGTACAGGGGGAAGACTTACGCAGACACACCCACAGCCATTTGTGCAGAGGGAAGACTTATACAGATGCCCTCGGACATCTGGGCTGTTTGTGCGGGGGAAAGACTTGGACAGACGTACCCACAGCCATTTGTGCAGGGGAAAGACTTAGGCAGAATATGCCCGTAGACATCTGGGCTGCTACTGCAGGGGAAAGATTTGGACAGATGTATCCATGGCCATTTGTGCAGGGGGAACAGTTACACAGATACACCATCCACAGATGTCTGGGCTATTTGTGCAAGGGAAGACTTACGCAGACACACCCATTGTCTTTCTGCAACATGGAGACATCTTTGCTGTCTCTCTCTGGAGACTCAGGGATGGCCTAGGACCTGGTGGGTGTCCTGGTCCTGGGAAACGTGGGCCTGGTGTGTGCACAGGGAGGTCAGATCCATAGAGGTGGCCGTGTGCAGAGGCCACCCCGATGGCGAGATCCACCTTGCCCCAGCCTGAGCCAGGACATGGGGCTCAGCCGTGTCCGGAGAACTGCCTGCAGGTCTTCCGTGGGGTCTCTTTAATGAGCACTTACTCTCTCAGACATCTCATCTCATTGTAGGAAAGGCCTTCTCAAGCCATTAGTTCTGGGCTCGTCTGCCCTGCTGTCAGCCAAAGCCAGAACCTCACCAGCCAGGGCCAGAGGAGGGGTGCAGAGCCATGGGGAGGTCAGCTGTGCTGCTCCCTCCTCAGGGCGTCTGCTCTTGTGGGGACCAGCTGTCGGGGGCATGTGACCGTCCTGGAGTTAGTGCCTGTTCCCTGACGCAGCCGTAACAGAAACACCAGGATGGCTGGTTTCAGCAGACACTTTCACGGTTGAGGAGGCCGGGAGTCTTGGTCAGGGAGAGGCTTTCTCTGTGTTGGCTCACACTTCAGAAGGTCCTTGTCCCCTTTCAGCACCTGTGGGTGCAGCATTCCTTGGAGGTCTCCACGTGTCTTGCAGTCAGTCTTCCCCTGGGTCTAGGAGGTTCTCAGCATAGGCAGCTTGGGTCCAAAGAGGACACTCCACTCCTGGCTCTTCCTTCTTGGTTGTAGCTCCCTCTCTCTCTGCTCACCTCTGTGTCTTCTCTCCGACCTTCAGCATGTCCTTGTCAGATAAAGGGGGATGCAAGCCACACGACGGGGAACACCTCGTACACCAGAGACCTGAGGAGGGGCGTTGCATCCCACCCTGATCCCCTTACAGCTGATGGGCCGATCGCATCCCAGGACATGGGTCTGTCATTGGCATAGCTTCCAGGTGGCATCAAACCTGCCAAACCACTGAAAATCAGGGTCCAGCCGAGCTGACATGTGTTCTGGGGGATACAGTTCACACCATGACAGTGTCTAACTGAAAACCAAACCTGTTACTATCGAGTCGGCCCGACTCCCAGCAACCCCGCGTGGATCAGAGCGGACTGTGCACCAGGGTCATCCGTGGAAATGATCACTATGCCTTTCTTCAGGCGCTATTCTGCGTGGACTCGGGCCTCCAACCCTGTGGCTGGGGGCTGAGGGTGCCAGCGCTTTGCACCACCCCGTAGCCAGCAGAATTGTTAAACTGGCCTCTGTGTGATGCGTGAGCGCGGCCATCGCTGCCGTCTCCCTCCAGGAAGGGCCTGAGCGCAGACTGCCTGACCCTGTGCTTGCCGGGGTCTCTCGACGATGTCCCTACAGAGGACGTCCTTCCCTTCCCGCCGGCGTCCTCCAGCGCTCCTGGCATCCCGGTGGCACTCGCCAGCCGCTGAACGGCATGTCCCTGGCAGCGTGTGGCTTATTTCTGTTTCCTGGGGACGCATCCCCCGCCACACCGCGGGGAAAACAACAGCTCCTTGTGCGGACGGCACAGCTGCTAGAGCCGACAAGGTCCAGGCGCACAAAACAGGAGCAGGTGGGGGGCAAAGCCAGGGAGGGCCAGGGGCAGTGAGAGGCCCCTGCTCGGGCTCGGGTGTTGCCCCTGTCCTGCGAACAAGGTCAGGGTCCCCGTGTGCTCCGAGGGCCCAGTGTGCCCTGACAGTGAACACTCTGTCCGCCCGCTGGCCCCCTGCTCAGCACTGTGACAGCTCCCTCAGTCTGCCACCTACATGTCACTTAGCCCAGTGTCTCTCAGATGGCATCTCACCATCTCACCCATCACCTGTCTGCCAGGCAGGTGACAGCTCAGGGGCCCAGCACTCAGGTACCATGCCATCCCGAGGGCCTGGCAGCAGCGTCCTACAAACGCCCAGATGTCTGGGCCTGGAGCAGCAGAGCGGGGAGGCCTGTGAGGTCCCAGCCAGCTCCAGGCCCCACACTGCACTGGGGGTGTCTTCATTTCCTACCGAGAGGCTATCAGCATGACATGGAGTCGGCCTTTGGCCCACAATGCCCCTGTGCAGGGTGAAGGAAATCGCTGCTGGTCCCGTGGCGTCCCCCATAATCGACTGCAGATTGGACTGCCGGGGTCCGTGGGGTGCACTACCCGGTCCCGTGCCATCCCCCACTACCGGCTGCGGGTCAGACTGCTGGGGTCCACGGGGTGTGCCGCATGGTCGCATGCCGTCCCCCATGATCGACTGTGGATCGGACTGCCGGGGTCCATGCGGTGCACTGCCCGGTCCCGTGCTGTCCCCTGTGAACAGCTAAGGGTCGGACTGCCGGGGTCCATGTGGTGCACTGCCCGGTCCCGTGCTGTCCCCTGTGAACAGCTAAGGGTCGGACTGCTGGGGTCCATGGGGTGTCAATGGGTTGATTGCCAGGCAGTTCTTCCCAGTCCATCTTAGTCTGGATGCTCCACTGAAACCTGTCAGCATCACAGTCATCACAACCCGACTGACAGACGAGGGGTGGCTACACGAGGTGCACTGGTCAGGCTCAGACGGCCGTCCTACAGAGGGCAGGCTCAGACACGTCGTCCTACAGAGGGCAGACATAGGCACACCGCCTTAGAGAGGGCAGACGTAGGCACACTGACCTACAGAGGGCAGACATAGGCACACCATTCTACAGGGGGCAGACGTAGACACACCGTCCTACAGGGGGCAGACTCAGATCGCCGTCCTACAGAGGGCAGATGTAGGCACCCCATCCTACAGAGGGCAGACGTAGGCACACCGACCTACAGAGGGCAGACTCAGACACGTTGTCCTACAGAGGGCAGACGTAGGCACACCGTCCTACAGAGGGCAGACTCAGACCGCCGTCCTACAGAGGTCACACCAAACACGCCGTGCCCCCAGTGGTGGCTTCGGGACTGTTGGAGGACCGTCTGCACGAAGCTGGGCTTGGTGAGGGATCTGTTTGTGACGCACTTGGCTGCTGTCAAGCGTTGGCTTTGCATTTCTCTGATTGTTGAGTGTTGGCTTTGGTTTCTCTTACTGTCCACCCTTTAGGGTGGGAATCCCAGCTTCTCGAGACAGGGTTCCTGGCGATCTTCCTGTGCCCGCTGTGGACGCTGTCCCGGTTGCCGAGACACACCCCGACGTCCCGGATCGTCGTGTGGGGATTTCGGTGGCTGATTTTCAGGATCATGCTCGGAGCAGTAAGTCAACCTTTTGTTGCCTACCTCGTTGGAAGGACAGACACGGTCCAACCCTGGCACCCTCCTTCAGTGCGCTGAGTAACTGTTGCATTTGCTTGGCTGTCTCGCCCCACCTTTCCCCACTCCTCTTCTCTAGGCTGTTCAGCTTAGGGGTGCTCCGTTAACCTGCCTTCAAGCTCAGGGGGTCTCTCCCCAGCCATGTCCAGTCTCATGACAAGTCCATCAGAGACACTGCTCATTTCTGTTACTGTGTTCAGTTTCTAGCATTTCCTTCTGATTCCTCCATAGCATGTCCATCTCTCTGCTTACATTACCCATCAGTGCTTGCTATCTGTCCACTTCTTCCATCAGAACCAAAACCCACTGCCGTGGAGTCCATTCTGACCCACAGCGCCCCTAGAGGACAGAGTGGACCTGCCCACGGGGTCTCCAAGGCTGTCAGTATTTATAGAAGCAGACTGCCTCATCTTTCTCCCTCAGAGCAGTTGGTGGGTTTGAACCACCAGCTTTTGAGTGAGCAGCTGAATGCTTTAACCACTGAGTCACCAGACCCCTCTTTAGTAATCACAGGCATTTTTAATTCTCACTTTGATCATTCTAGAACCTCTGCCATGTCCGAGTCTGTTGACTATCCAGCTGCAGGGCTCCCCTGGTGCCGTGTTCTGCCCAGGTCAGGCATGTGGTGGGGTTGGGGGGCTGCCGTGGCACCTGCTAGATGTGGGAGGGATGGAGGGGGACGGAGATGTGTGTGCCAGGCCTTGGAGCACACACCATTTAGTGTTGGCATTCCTGGCAAGGTTTCCGGCCCTGTGTAGACTTTGAGCAACAGCAGATATTTGGGAGCCCCGTGCTGGGGTGGGGACCTGGTGCTGACCATGTGCCCAGATCCCACACAACAGCGGGATGACATCTCCAGCTTCATCTTTCCATTTAGTTAGGAAGGTGGGCGTCACTCTCACAGTCCCGTCTCGTGAAACACTGAACTTTCCAGTTGTCAATAGTCATTGCTCAGATATTCTTAGCTGTTCCTACCCATCCGGGGCTTAATTTTAGATTCTTCCCTCAGCTGGTTTTAATGAGCATAAAATGTATGAAATGTTTGCAAAAGACTATGTGGGAACCCACGGGAGCCGGCAGCTGCTTGAGGTGTGGCAACGTAGAGCTAATTGCTGCCGGGTCAGAGCCGTCAGGCTGTTCCGTGTGAGGCTCATGGTGCCAAGTGATGAACAAACCCCCACGACGGCTGACAGAACGCAGTGAGTTATCAGTACCTTTGAACGCACTCTTAGTGGCGTTTTGATTGACTGTCAGTGCCAGCTGGATAAAAAAATTATCAGGTGCCTTAAAAGGTATAATTACCTGATTTCGTCTGCATGTTGGCTGTTACCAATCTTCCTGCAAAGTGGGAACCACGGGGGCTTGGTAAAGGAGAATGACGGCGGCAAAAGGCCATCCGTTTAGCTGCTGGGAGAAAGCCAGGCAGATGCCCAATGGGTGGTGTGCGAGCTGGCAGACCCCTGTTGCAGGCACTCTGCTGCTGGGGTCAGACCTGGTGCCACAAAGTGAGAAGGGGTTTAGACCGTGGAAACCAGCAGTGTGTGTTCCTGAGTCTACAGCATTGCCCGTGCTCCTGGGGAGCAGGTTGGTTCCTGCACGGTGAGCCCCAGAGTGCCTGGCGGCAGAAAAAACGGGGCCTGCACAGACTTTGCGGTCCACCGAAGGCCTGGTCTTTCCCAGTGGGGCTCAAGAGGGACCATCAGCACTGTCATACCCATCCTTAAGCACTTGGACATGATCCTTGTGGTACCCAAACAGTGTCCGTGGTGGAGAAGCTGACACCAGCATACCTGTTGCAGAGTGAGCTATGTCCCTGGGAAAGTTATGAGGGACACCCAGCCCCATCCCTGTAACTGGGTTTTCTTTTGTTATGTCCATGAGGTCATCCCAGAGGAGGGTCCCAGCCCTACTCCCCCAGAAATGGAATCGGGCTCAGCATCATCAGAAAGAACGCACACTGACAGGTGCCTCCTGATGGCTGAAGGACACAGCACCATTAGGTTGTGTTATTGCCAAAAATGTGTGGCCTTCATCTTACCACAAGAAATCATCCAACAAACCCCAACTGAGGGACATTCTTCAAAATAACTGACTGACATTTTCAAAAGCGTCAGCGTCATGAACACAAGTGAAGCCTGAATGCGTGGTCAGCATGGCTTCTGCCGAGTGTCTCCACCACAAAGGTGCTCATTTCCCCTTTGTAATCAGTGAACACCTTGGGGTCGATACTGAGAACAGTGGGATGGAGGGAGACTCATGGGATGTGACGATTAAATCCAAGTGGAGCCTGTGCTGGGGCCTAGTACAGAAGAGGGATACAGGTGACGAAATGGTGAAAGTCACATACGGTCAGTAGTTGAATCCATAGAATTGCATTAGTTGTGGTAGGTACACAGGAGCATGGTACAACTTCTGCAACCTGTCTGTAAGTCTGAGATTTAGTCACAGTAAGAAGTTAGAGAGAAATATCGTAAGCAATTTTATGCACATGAATTGGACAACTTAGATGAAGTGGCTGAATTCCTTCCAAGGTGATCAGAGCTGACGGAAGAAACAGAAAGTCTGAGTAGTCCTGCCACCGGAGCTCATGCAAAGGTGAACAGTAGCTTTACTCTCTTTAAAGCGATACAAGGAAGAACTGATACCAATCTTATACAAACTCATTCAGAAGACAGGAGCAAGAACCTTCCAACACAGGTTCATGAGGCCAGCATATGTCTGATAAAGTGATAAGAAGAAGACAGGGAAATTCCAAGAGAAGAAAATTACAGAGCTATGTCCTTAGTGTGGAGAGCATACACAAACACGGTGCACTGCCGTCAAGTCGGACTCGACTCACAGCGACCCCTCCTTGGGTTTCCGAGGTGATATCACTATGGAAGTAGATTGCCCAACCTTCTGAGGAGTGGCTGGTGGGCTTGCACTGCCAGCCTTCTGGTTAGCAGTCAAATGCCTTAGGCACTATGCCACTAGAGCTCCCCTAGAGAGCATAGACTAAGGAAAAATTTGCAAATGCAATGCAGCAGTACATATAAACCATCAGAGCCAAATGGGATTTTTCCCAGGAAGGCAAAAGGTAGGTTAACATTAATAAATTAACATAACTCACCAAATTACCAGATAAAAGGAGGAATACGTAAAATCATATGATCATCTCAGTGAATATAGAAATAGCATGAGGCATGACCAAACACCCCTGCATGATTAACAACAAGAAGAAAACAAATCTCAGCAGGCTGGGAGGGAACTGCCTCAGGCTAATAGAAGAAGGTGTGTAAAACCCACAGTTACTCTCACAGTTAAGGGTGAAACATTGAATATGTTTCCTGTAAGATTGGGAAGAGGATGCACAGACAGCCACTCTCATCACCTGTGCAATGAAGCAAGCAGAAGAAACAGCATCGAGATGGAGAGGGATAAGCTGGTGAAATGATCACGTGTGTGGGTCGTAGGGATTTCTGCAGCCTACGAGGGCATTTCTCCAGAGGACGGTGCAGGTCAACAGACAACACTTAAGCACTCAGCTGCCAGCCAACTCACCCAGCAGCTTCACAGGAGAGAGACCTGACAATCTGCTCCCATAAAGGTTTATGTGCCGTCGAGCCACTTTCAACTCCAAGCCATCCTTTATGACAGAGTAGAGCTGTCCCATAGGGTTTCCTGGGCTGTCGTCTAGAACACCCTGTGGGCAGTTCTGTGCTGCCACGTGGAGTCATTCAGAGTCGGCCTCAACTTGACGACACCCGACAGCAACAACAGTGTCTGAACGTCAATTGCCTTTCTATATGGGAGCAAAGGCATGAAATGAAGGTGTTAGGTGTAGTATTTATTATATAAAATACTGAAAAAATACTAAAAATACTGTGGAAATGCTAACAAGTGTGAGGTCACAGAACCAAACAAGTGCAGCACTTGTACCCCGAAAGCTTCAAAACATTGCTGAGAGAAAATTTTTAAAAATTTATATGGAGAGATATACCATGTTCATGAATCAAAGGTCTCAATATTGTTAAGCTCCTCATTGTCTCCAAATTATAGATTTAATGTAACCCTAAACATAATCCCAGAAGGGTTTTTATCTGTGTGTGTGTGTAGAGATAGATAGATATAGATACAAAGTTGGCATAATAATTTTATTCTAATAAATCAATAGATTTGATTGTGTGGATCATAAAAAATTGTGGATAACATTGAGAAGAATGGGAATTCCTGAACACTTGATGATTGTACTCATGAGGAACCTGTACATGGACCAGGAGGCTGTCGTTCGAACAGAACAAGGGGACACTGCATGGTTTAAAATCAAGAAGGGAATGCGTCAGGGTTGTATCCTTTGACCATACTTATTCAATCTATAAACTTAGCAAATAATCCGAGAAGCTGGACTGTATGAAGAAGAATGTGGCATCAGGATTGGAGGAAGAATCATTAGCAACCTGTGATATGCTGAAAACACAACTTTGCTGCTGAAAGTGAGGATGACTTGAAGCACTTACTGATGAAAATTGAAGAATACAGTCTCCAGTATGGATTACACCTCAGTATAAAGAAAACAAAAATCCTCACAATTGGACCTATAAGCAGCATCACGATAAATGGAGAAAAGATTGAAGTTGTCAAAGACTTCACATTGTTTCGTTCTACAATCGTCACTGATGGAAGCAGCAGTCAGGACATCAGATGTGTAGCACTAGGCAAGTTGGCTACAAAAGACCTCTTTCAAGTGCTGAAGAGCAAAGATGTCTCCTTGAGGACTAGGGTGCGCCTGACACAAGCCATGGTATTTTCAGTAGCCTCATGCACATGTGAGAGCTGGACAGTGAATAAGACAGACCGAAAAGAATTAGTGCTTTTGAGTTGTGGTGTTGGCGAAGAATGCTGAAGGTACCACAGACTGCTAAAAGGACTAACAGATCTGTCCTGGAAGAAGTGCAGCCAGAATA